CGCGGACCCCCCCACCCGGCGGGAGGTGCCGGGAGGGGGGCCCAGCCCCCCCTGCCAGCACTGGGGTCACCAGGCGCTCCCCAGCCAGGGCCCCACCCTGCTCCCCACAGCGTCCCCTGCTGACCCCCCATCTGCCCCCCCAGGCTGTCGGAACAACCTCACCGTCTCCTCCAACCGGACGTCCCCCTCAGCCCTGACCCTCCGCTGCCAGCGCTGCCCCCTGCTGGCTGGCTCGGCCTCCTTCCGCTGGTTCCTCAACTCCCAGCCCCTGGGCAACCCAGGCTGGGCTACCAAGAGCCAGCTGGGGGCTACCGTGAGGCTGGACCCGTCCCGGCGCGGGGCCTGGGGGCGCTGGGAATGTCACCTCATTGGCACCTCCTCTCGGGGCTTTGAGTTCTGCCTGGAGCCCCCCCTCGGGGCAGGGGGAGCAGGTAAGATAGTGCTGCATGTCCTGCACCCCCCCACACCTGCCCCACGGTGTCCTCTGCTGGCCCTGACCCTACCTCTGTTCCAGGCCCCAGCTCTGAGTGGGGGATCTGGGTTGTGGCGGCGGTTCTGGGTCTGATCGGCGCAGGGCTGGGCGCTTGGCATCTCTGGAGGTGGAGACGGATATGGGGCAGGTGAGTTGGGGACCCGGAGTCCGGGGAGCGGCACCCCCAGCAGGGGATGGAGAGGGAAGAGAGAGAGGGGGACCCAGGAGTCCAGGGAGCAGAGCCCCAGCCCAGGGTGGAGTGGAAGAGGGAGAGACCCAGGAGCCTGGGGAGTGGTAGCCCCACAGGGTGGGGGAAGGGACCCAGGAGTCCGGGGATGGGAGTGGGGAGAAACGTGTTTTCATCGTGTATCTTTCCCATTTTCTTCCTTCAGGAACCGACGGAATCAAAACAGAAAAGAGAACAAAACAGGTGAGAGAGAGAAATAAAAACAACCCCCAGCCGCAGGCCCGTTACCCCCGTATCCCACTGCTCCCACCATAGGTCAGAGACATGGACCCAGGTATCCCACCGCTCCCACCATAGGTCCGAGCCCTGGGCCCAGCTATCCCGGTATCCCGCCTCCCCAGCTGAATGCAGAGCGGATCAAAGATCTCCTTCCTGAGTAGCCGGGTCCATAACCTTCCCAGCCATGTTCAGTCTGTAAGAATCCAGTGGTGGGTAGTTCCAGAGGTCAACCGGCTCCTTGGTTAGATTCCCCCCCCCCCCCGCACTATCCCATCCTTCTTCCCTCTTGATTTTCTCCTTCTCTCCATCCTGTGCCAAGGAGCCCCGGGGCACCGTTTATGCCCCTTGGAAGAGCCACGGCTTGGAGCCAAATCGACCGAAAGACGCCTTGTGCCCCAGAGTCGGGAAAGAAAAGTGAGCGGGGGCAGGGCTGGGCTGGCAGGGGCTGTGGGTCAGGAGTGAGGGGCACCGGCAGAGCTGGGCAGCGGGAGGCATGGCTGGGCTGGCAGGGGCTGTGGGTTGGGAGTGAGGGGCACCAGCAGAGCTGGGGGGGCAGGGCGGGGCAAGCAGTGGCTGTGGGGCGGGAGTGAGGGGCACCAGCAGAGCTGGGGGGCAGAAGGTCGCAGGGGGAAATCTCTGTAACTTCTTACCCCTTCTCTCCCCAGGTCCCAGGCACCCTGCTTTATGCTGAAGTCCAGCACCCACTGGTGGCTCGAGCCCCAGCTCCTCCCCCACACGGTGCCACGGTCTATGCCACTATTGTCTGACCCCCCACCCGCCCTGGCTCCGCTCCCCTCTCCTCTCCACCCCCTTCATGAGTTGCATTCACACCCCTGGCTCCCAGGTGATGGGAAATTCAGCTGGAAGATGCTGGAAATCTCTGTTAAAATCCTGTGGTGGGGAGTTCCGCAGGTTAACAGATTGTGGCATTAAAATCTGCCTTTGAACCCCTCGTGTCTGTGGTGTGTCTCCTTTGTCCTCAAGACCCCACCCTTTGGGCCTGGCCCCCGGGGGTGGGGTTCAGGCAGACTCAGCTCCCCTTCAGTTCCTGCCCCAAACGTCTGTGCAGAGCTGCCCCGCCCCAGAGTGAACTGCACTGGCCAAGGGATCCCTGTATAACCAGCCCCTCTCGCCCCGCCCCAGAGGCGGCTACATCTCCACTCCAGCTGAGGGACATCTGACCATGAGGAGAGTTCAGGCCGAGCGCACCCACCTCCGTGGGCAGGATTTGAACCCGCGACCCCCAGCTTTGCACCCTGCCTGTTAACAATTATCCTGTAGCACCAGGACAAACCACTAGGTGGGGAAAACTGAGCAAGTGGGTAAAGCCAGGAGCTAATCGGGTGTTGGGAGCCAGGACACCCGGGTTCTAACCCCAGCTCGGAGACGGACGTGGGGCCCAGGGACTCAAGCAGGGGGGATGGGAGCCAGGACTCCTGGGTTCTATTCGCAGCAGAGGGCGGCTACTGAACAAGAGGCCGTGTGATATCCTGTGCTTTGCTGGCAGCAGCTTCCTCTTCGCTGTAGCCCTGTGAACAACGCCCCTGCCCAGAGGCAGACGCACCCTGTGCCCGGAGACCCCTCTCCCTGCCCCAGGGATCCCACCCCTCCCCGGCTCCACCATGCGCCCCCCTCTCCTGCCTCTGGCCCTCGCCCTCCTCACAGCGGTGCCCCCGGAGGCTCAACAAGGTAAGGAGCCGACCGTGCCGTGGGGCTGGGAACTCGCACTCGGTGGGTGGGGGCTCGGCCGGGGCAGCGGGGGGCTCAGCGGGGGGCACTCTCCCCTGGCCCCAGTGCGCTCAATAAGGAACCCAGGAAAATCCCAGAGCCGGTGAGCCCATTCCTGTCACCCTAAAAATCTCCCCTTGCGGCTTCAGCTGGATGCACCCTTCCCCTTCACTTCCTGTCCCAAACTTGTGTTCCGCTGTTACCCACCCCAGAGGTGGCTGCATCTCCGTGCCAGGCGAGGGGTCCCCGTCACTCTTGTCCCCTTGTAGGCAGGAACCACTTGGCTCTGGAGTTTGCAGGCCCAGAGGTGACGAAAGAAGCCGGCTCGACTGTGAGTCTGTCCTGCAACCTGACGGGGCCGAGGCTGAGCTGGCGGTGGGTCCCGCGCTACACAGTCTGCGCTGGTGTGAGCGGTGGGATAAAGACAATTTAAACAGTGACGGCGGCTGGGGCACACGACACTCCGGAGGGGAGGTTTAAGAAGCGGCTGCATCTCCTAACCAGTCGGAGAACCCAAACCTCCATCCTCCAACTGCAACCCCTCCACATGAACGACTCGGGGGTCTTCTTCTGTGTCAGCCCCAGCCAGAACGCCCCGCCGATCTCCATGACCATCACGCCCAGTAACAGCACTGCCGGGGGGCTGGGAGCCAGAACACCTGGGTTCTCTCCCCAGCTCTGGGAGGGGAGTGGGGGCTAGTGGTTAGAGCAGGGATCTGGGAGCCAGGACACCTGGGTTCTCTCCTAGCTCTGGAAGGAGGGGAGCAGCAAGCAGCCAGCAGGGGGCGGGTCGTTAACTGGATCCATCACGTTTGGCTCTGCCCCCACAGGCTGCCCGGCCAGGGTGTCCATCGCCACGGTCCCCAAGGAGCCGGTCGTGGAGGGAGCGTCTGTGTCCCTCTCCTGTACCCACTGTGGGGAGCAGGGACCCACATCACCCCCAGCAGGAGGCCCCACGTGGCAGCTCAATGGGGAAACGCTACCAAACTCCACAGCCCCTCGGATCCTGAGGTCCAACGTGACGATAGAGGGTTTCTCCAGCTCGTTGGAAGGTCTGTGGAGCTGCCACCTGCCTGGGGATCCCCTCCAGTCTGGGAGCTACTGCCTGGAGCGCGAGCCGGGGGCGCACGGGACCCAGCAGAGCACCAGCCCCACCCCCACCAGTCCAGGTGCATATTCAGCCCCCGTATCCCTGTCACAGTCAATGCAGCCACCTCTGGGGCGGGGCAGCTGGGTACCAGCCGCACAGAACAGCGACACCCCAGGGTTGGGGTGGGGAGCGAAGGGGGAGCCTGGATGCGATGGGGGGAGGTCGGCTGGGAACCCTGAGTTTGGCTTAGACCTGGGCGCTGGAGTCCACAGCATACCTGTGGGGGAAAACGTACCAAGGGGTTCCTGTGCTGGCAGCCCCGTGTCCCACCCCAGAGGTGGCTGCATCTCAGCGCCGGGCGAGTGGTCCCTGTATAATCAGCCCCGTGTCCCACCCCAGAGGTGGCTGCATCTCAGCGCCCGGCGAGTGGTCCCTGTATAAACAGCCCCGTGTCCCACCCCAGAGGTGACTGCATCTCAGCTCCGGGTTTGTGGCCGCTACAAGCTACTGTCTCCGGTCGCAGGCTCCGGGATGACGGTGCTGGCTGTGCGCTGTGGCCTCGCCTTCCTCTTCTTCAGTGTCACCCTCGGGGCCGACGGCTACGGGCACTGTAAAGCCCGGGCCCGGGC